CACAGGACTGGTGACGGCAAAAAAGGCGGTCAACGTGTTTATCTACTGATTACGATGCTATGAACATGACGACCCGGCCGCAAGGCTTCGTCCGGGCCTTCAGGTAGGGAGGAAAGGAGAAAGGTCCTCAGGGGCGAGACGACGACAACTCGAAGCTCAACAAAAGGCGGACAGCCGCCGAGTCAGTTCCTCGACCAATGGACAGGCGTACTGCGACCGTGGCAAGGGGGCCATATTTGGTGGGTACGGACGGATTCATTGCTCCAGTATCCGATTCCCTGGCCTATTGGCCTCACTAAGGTACCTACCCAACTACTACCTACCTGGTAGGGTAGGCCAGTACTGAACAAGAGGCTATTCCAAGCAGAAGCAGGGCAGGGTGGGCGACGATGATGGAAGCGGTGCATCATGATTGCCGCCTGCTGGGTCGACCCTTCGGTACCTGGCGGTGGGTGGTGATGGCGGTGGTCTGGTGTGCACAGTCAGCGAGCTGTCAGGGCAGGCGAGAGCTTCCAGGCACCTGCAGGCGCTGGAGAGTGATGACGATGGGATTTCGTAATTCTGATTGGGTGGACGCCCCCCTGTTGCTGGCAGCCCCTCCTCCGCTGCTTCCTGCTGATGACCTGACGAGGCGAGGGGCAGGAACAGGAAGGTTCCGGTCACAGGTGTCACAGGTTCGAGCCAGCCGACGCCGAGAAGATCAAGCTCGAGCTTGACATGCCGTGTCGGTGGAACACGGAAAATAAAACAAACTCTAGGCAGACCGACCGCCTGAACGTCCCAAGAATTACTGAAACCCCCGATTCGGCTCTGAATTTACCCCGCCGGGACAGAAGTGCGTCCACCTACAGTGGCCGATCACCGTCTCGTTATGAACAAGCGCAGCGCAACTGACAAACTCAGCCACAAGCCACCTTCCATAACCACTCCTTTCTTTCTCGAGATTCCGCTTATCGTAGGCCGCGCGTGTCACCCGACCCGAACACGACCGCCCGATCATGCTGCTTGCCAAGTTGCCCTTCCTCCTCCATATCCCCGTTGAAGCACTGGCTGCCCGGCAGTTCATCCTGCATCCTGACACTCAGATCGCATCCCCACCGGAGGCCGCTGTCTTGGTGTGCCAGTTGCTCGGCGGCCTGTTGTTGAGCACAACCTTGCTCTGTATAGGTGTGCTCGTGGGTCCTGGTGTCGAGGGGCTTGTGCGATGGGCTGCTGCTTCGTTGGCGTTTTGGCATCTGTGGCCATGCTGGAGGGCCTGGGTGAGGATGACGTCTGGTAATGGAGGGAGAGAAGCGCAGCAAAAGAAGACGCTTGGAGGGCCAGTGGTCCATCTAGGGGTGCATGGGGGGTTGTGCCTGCTGTTTGTCGGGTCTGCTCTTCTGTGATAGTGTCGGACTGTAATCTCGTGCTGGTGGCCGACGACAAGGACTGCAACACAGGAACGAAAGGTGTCAAAGCTGGATTTTGATCACACATAGAT